GTGTGTGTGTGTGTGTGTGTGTGTGTGTGTGTGTGTGTGTGTGTGTGACTATGTGTATGTGTGTGATGTTGGATGTATCATATATATATGTATGTATATGTTTGTATGGTACCTGGGCGCCTGAGGAAGACAATGTAGGATGTTTTCCTCAATCTGTCTCTATCTTATTTTTTGAGACAAGTTCTCTCACTGAACCTGAAGCTCATTGGTGTAGCTAAGTCCACTGTCTAGCAAGCTACAGTAATCCTCTTGTCTCTTCCTCCATTGTGCTGGGATTGCAGATGTGTGTGACCACATCTGGCTTTTTATGTATGTGCAGGGGTCCAGACTCAGGTCCTGATGCACTGTACCCTGAGAGACATCTCTCACCCCTCACCTAGTCTGTATTTCTTATACAGCAGCCCCCAGCCCTGGGCTATTACTCTATCATTCATTTCTATGTCCTGATTCTCCAGCGTGCTCTGACAGAGAGTGGTAGAACCTCCTAAGAACATTGTGCTGAAGAAAACAGGGGCAACTCGGTAGGAATCAAATCAGTATCCAAGCAGAGTATTTGGGTACAAATAAAGCTGACTCTTACGTTTGCTCTAAGTCCCAAAGTTTGAGAGAGAAATAGAAGGGTCTCAAATGGAAATTCTGATCTCCCTCATTTGAGGTCATTACCACAGAAATGCAAACTTCACCCCGTGACCTAGAAAGGTTCTAATTCAGCGGTTCTCAACCTGTGGGTCGAAATCCCCTTGGGTTGCCTATAGGATATCCTGCATACCAGATATTTACATTATGATTTATAACAGTAGAAAATTACAGTTTTGAAGTGGCAACGGAATAATGCTATGGTGTGTGTGTGTGTGGGGGGTCACCATGACATGAGGAACTTAAAGGATTGCAGCATTAGGAAGGTTGAGAACCCTGCTCTAATTGGAAAGATCCTTTGGGCCCACCTGGTGTGGAATTTGCTGGAAGCTCCTAAAATGTCTCAAGTCACTTCACTGGAGAATTTACTAAAGAATTAAAAGTCCCAGTAAAAGAGAGATTGGGCTTGCTCATTAAAGTATGTACCTTGTGAAATCCTTCGTTTTCTCATGACTAGAAATTCTAGCTTGTAATTCCCAATAAGGAAGCCTCTAAGCTACTCATTAGTGCAAAATAAACCAGTCATACCAGGCACACAGGATAAAGGCAAGAGTCCTTATGTGCCAAGTGAGGGCTGGCCCCTCTGTGAAAATGGCCCTTGACCCCCTTCTAGAGTGCACAAGGCTTATCCAGCTGTGGGAACTGTGGGTCATGAGCCAGGCAAGTGTTATAGGAGCCGTGGCGATGGCGGCAAGCTGGAATATACCAGGTGTGTCCTGTCAAGTAAGGGCAATCCCCATGATCTGAGCTATCACAGTGAAGAAAAAGCAAGAAGGTAACAAAATAGCAGGTATGGCTTTACCAGAAAGAACGAGAATGTTCTAAATAGGGAAGGAATAGGTTTGGTTTCTGGCCTTCAAATAGGGATTAAAACACACTTAAGAAACACCCCGATACTAGGTAAGGTATTAACTAGATTATTTTTGTCGTACCAATTACACAGCCTTTATAAATGCCTAGGTTGCTAGGAGCTGAGGCGAGCCCAGGCAAGAAGGCAGCAGTTAGTGTGAAAGTACATTTTAGAACCTCAAAATGACCCCATGTATTTCCATGGCTCTTCCTTGGACTTTGGGATAAATTCTATTTCCTACACTGGACAATGTTCTCAGTCATTCCCCATGACTGGAACTGACATATCACTTAGGGACATTTCAAGGTACCAAGGGCAGCAGAAGTGCCTACCGGGTTGTTGCTGGTCTTTCCTGCAAGTATGACCCGGGCCTTGACCTTGTTCATGTTGAAGTTCTTCAGGTAGGCTTCATGGATTCTCTTGGCCAGAGATTTGAGGTCTGCAGTTTCTGAATCTTTCAGATCGTGTTCACAGGTAAGAATTTCAGCTTTCAGTTTGGCTTTCTCAGATCTTGGCATTCTTCCAAAACGAATTGCTGGAGTTTGGGTGAAGATGGAAAAGACAGGATGTAGACATGGTCAAGACATTCGACAGCCAAGGCAGAGGAAGAGTGGAAGGTCACAACAGGAATGGCAAGCTAAACTCATTCCTCATTACCATCAAACTTTGTACTAAAGAGATGGAAAACCAAATACACAGCTTATCAACGGGATGGCTTACTGTCCTCAGGTTGGCCAGTGGCCAAGGTGAAGGGAATGAAAGTGAGTTATTATCTATCTATGCATTTATCTATATGTCTTTCTATCATCTACCTACCTATCTACCATCTATCTACCTATCTATCTACCTATCTACCATCTATCTATCTATCTACCTTCTACTGTCTATCTATCTATCTATCTATCTATCTATCTATCTATCTATCTACCTACCTATCATCTATCTGTCTGCCTAACATCAGCCTATTAATCATCTATCTATATAGCTATCTGTCTGTGTAGTTACTTATCTATCATTTGCCCATTAATCATCTGTCTGTCTGTCTATGTATTTTTTTGAGACAGTCTCATATAGTGGGTCATGCTTGCTTCCAAACAACTACATAACTAAGAATAATCCTGACTGCCTTAGCATCTCGCCTCAGCCCCTCTAGTGCTCAGATTATAGGCTAGGCCTATGCAGTGCTGGGACCACATATCTTCATGAACCCAGTGCCTCATGCATGCCAGCTAAGCATTCTACCAGCTGAGGGGCAGCTCCAGCTCTATTTTTGTTTTTAAAAGACAGGGTGTTCCAATGTAGCCCAGACTGGCCATGAAGTTACAAAAATCGTCTGGCCTCAGCATGCTGAGTGCTGGGATTACAGGCATGTAGCACTATGTCTGTGATCCCAGCACTCCCTGGAAGCAGAGGCAGGTGGATTTCTGTGAGTTCAAGGACAGACTGGTTTACTCAGTGATTTCCATATTATCCTCAGTTATATAGTTAGTTGGATGCAAGCATGATGCATTATGTGAGACTCTGTCTCAAAAACAAAACATAGACAGACAGACAGACAGACAGACAGATGATAGATAAATAAGTACATAGCTAGCTCGCTATATAGATGATTAAAAAGTTGATGTTACACAGACAGACAGATAGATGGTAGGTAGATGATAGGTATATAGATAGATTTTGAGACCCCCATCTCAAAAATGAATGAATGAATGAATGAATGAATGAATCAATGAATAATCTTCATTGGGAACCATGTTCTAAATTATAGTATGGTTGAAAAAATAGAAACTCACAGTATGGTACAATGCTTGAAACAACACTCATTCGAGAGTGGTGACGTGACATCTTGCCACTCCATTGAGTGACCTCCAGTGACCTCCAAGTTGACAGCCATGTCTCACCGTAAGAGTTTCCAGTGCTCTGCTAAATACCAGCTGCCGGAGATAGTTACACGGCACAGCACGCCCATTCATGATACAGCTGTTCGGACTGATCAAGGAGGGAAAACTGAGGCATGGACTGACACGGTATGCCCATCAGCCTTACCTACCATTGTGTGACATCCCGACGGACAGGCACTTGTGGAAACGGCAGTACTGGCATTTATTCCGGTTCTTTTTCTGAATCTTGCAGCTTCGGTCACACTTGTCGTATACCAGCTTTAGCCGAATAGTTCGCCGAAAGAAGCCCTGTGACGCCAACACATAATTTACTTATAGAACGTGGGCTCTGGGTAAGTCTCCAGACTGGCTTCGCTCAGCTTTCTTGTGGATTTGATGGATTGACTGGTTTGTTTTGAAAAGAGATCTCATGGAGCCCACCGGGGCAAAGAGCTTGCTCTGTGGCCAAAGATGACCTTGAACTTTCTGCTTCCACCTCCCTAGTGCTGGAAGCCCTTGGCTGAGCACCACCATTCCTGGCTTGATGGGGTTCTGAGGATCCAACCCAGGGCTTCATGCATGCTAGGCAAGTACTCTCCCAGCTGAGCTATGCCTCAGTCCTACCATCTCTAAGAAACTACGTGTTGAAGTTCTAGAAAGTCTCATGTAACTGGGGCAAATAGGGACTGTGCATGTCACTGCACTAAAATGAAAACTCATGTGCTAAGGCAGAGTTGAAAGCGATCTCAGAAAGACCCTACCAGACTGGGGAAGACACCACCAAGTCCCTAAGATAGAATGTTACAAGAGGGCAATGGCTATTCGAAAGCAACACTCTTGCTTCATAACTGCACCGAGGCTTCACCCAGGAAGAAAACAGCCTGAGCTCATCAAAGCCAAGCCAACTGGACACAGCCTCAACAAAGGGCCCCATCCCAAGTTGCATTTTCAAAGGGATACAGATAGAAAACTCAGGAAGGGGTTTATTTTGGCTTTTTGGGTCCTTTGCTTTTGAGGGGTGCTTCCTCCTCTAGCCTGAGGCAGTGGATTCTCGCAGCTCATGTGGAAGGCTTTTCTTGGGGACTGTGGGACCAGAGGGGGAAGGTTCCTCATCTAGGTGTGTGAGGTAGACTGTCAGAAGGACTTGTGGGATGGAGAGGAAGAATGAGCAGCAAGGGCTGCGGATGTCAGGGGGCACCAGGCTCTATATCTGGGTTCACTGTTGCCACGCATGAGGCCTGTAAGACCAGGCCCACCCAAGGAGAATCAGCAGTGCTTCAAGAACGAAGGTACAGGAGAGTCTAGGATATTTCCTCAGATCCTGGACATTTCTAGAAGGTACTAGGAAGGGAGTCTTTGGGTTTTAAGTGAACATCTGTATGTCTTAATCTTCTATATATGGTGTCCATGAACTGACAAACTTGAAAACGTCCGTGCAGCAGAAGGGGGTTCCCTTTATGCACGTGGGGGCTGGGTCATGCCTGGCTAGAGGTCAAATTGACTCTCACTGGAGATAAAGATACACAGGAGGGTGCAGGCAGTTAGGAGGATGTCAGTGTGTGTCAGAGGTGACTGGCTCGGGGTCAGTTAGAGGAGCTAGGTACTGTGGACCCTGAGCAAGGGACAGAACACCCTTGCTCAATGCATGGTCACCTCTGCCCCAGCTGGCCTCTAGAGGGGTCCTGAGTTAGTAGGTAAACACACTCCTCTACATGGTCACCTCTGCTCTAGCTGGCTTCAGGGCTGGTCCTGAGGTAGTGTGGAGTCTATACTCTGTGCCGTGGGGAGACTCATTTTTAAGCAAACTTCTCTTTGTTTCCTTGTTCATTTTGTTTTAAAGGACATGCCCCCTCTCAAATGTTTACAAAGTACAGCAAAGCAACCTGGCTTAGATTGTCAAAAGAGGAGTCGACCTGCCACGAAAGCGAGTTCTCTGCTCTTTCTGGCGGTCTCTGAGGGTTGACAGCCTATCGCATGGAGGACCAAAGGCATCGAGCCATGTGGCCACCCCACCCTTCTGCCGGGGCCTCCGTACCTTGCAGCCTTCACATGCATGGACTCCGTAGTGGTATCCTGAGGCCTTGTCCCCACATATTCGACACTCGATGTTCAGTGCACTGCCGGGGGACTCATCCGTGCTGCCGGGGATCACGGGGCAGCTGATGGAGGAGGGGCTGGAAGCTGGAGAGAGGGTGTCTACAGAGGGAAGAGGAAAGTGTGTGAAACCTGGAGTGTTACCAACCATGTCAGAGTCAGATCCTTGGGAAGATAATGTTGCATGACAGGGGGACGTGTGATATGAGCAGGTGCCTCTCTTGAATCAGCCCTGCCCCTGGCCACACACTGCCCATAGTTACCTACCATGGTGACACCATTCTTGAGGCTCCTCTGCACTAGACTACCTCCTAACTTGTACCCTACCTCCAGCTCTTCTGAGGCCATATTATGGGACCTTCACAGGGGCCCCAGTCTCCCATGCCACATGCCCAACACAGAGCTGGCTGCCTTCCAATTTTGTTGTCATTGTTCCTCAGTGGCACTGGAATAGAGACTAAATAGTCACACCCACAGGCGTCCTGGCACATGTTTTCAACTCTAAAATCCAGTAGCTAAGGTAAGAGAATTGTAAGTTCAAGACCAGCCTGGGCTATAGGGTGAGACAGAGACAGAGATGGAGACAGTGGAGGTGGAGACAGAAGAGGGATGAGAGAGTATAAAGAGACAGAGGAAGGAAAAGTGAAGGAGAACCGAGAGAGTGTGTGTTGAGAGAGGAGAAAAGAACATGCTGAGAATAAGACAGAGAAAGAGAACTGAGAGAAAAGAGAAGGGGAGAGATAGAGGAAAAGGAGAAGGGCAGAGCCTAGGCGAAGATAAGCTTAAAAACCCACTCAATAAAAGTCTAGTGTCCAAAAGATGCAACGAAATCTTAAAACTAACCAGTAGAAAACACAGTTAAAAAGCATCAACGGAGGCCTGGAGAGATGGCTCAGAGGTTAAGAATTCTGGATACTGTTCTAGAGGTCCTACGTTCAATTCCCAGCAACCACATGGTGGCTCATAACCATCTATAATACAATCTGGTTCCTTCTTCTGGCCTACAGGCATACATGCAGGCAGACGTTTGTATACATGATGAATAAATACACCCTTTTTAAAACGGCATCAATAGACTTGAATAAATCTGACTTCACTCAAGAAGACAGATGGATGGTATGTGTGTGGAATCACGCTTAGTGTCACTGTCCTTAACAGACTTTGAGTTAAAACCACAGAGACTATCACTGCACACCAATTAAACTAAACTTCTTCAAAACTGGAGACAGAAGTGCTGGCAGGGGTTTTGGAGTGGCTGCTGTCCCTCCTGGCCAGTGTGCACGCAGAAAGAGACAGCCACATTTAAAGCAGAACAGTCCTGAGAAAAAATCCATCTCTGGTTATTTACTCAGCTGATTCAGGAACAGGTCCAGACAAAAATAAACAGCATGAGTAGTTACAGAAGCTTCGTTCTTCTTTTGTTAAGGCTTGTGTGTATAATGTGCATGTCTGTGTGCACTGTTGTGTGTGCACTATTATGTGTACAAGTGCTGTCATGTGCATGCAATGGTATGAAAGTAGAGGTCAGAGGACAACTTGGGCATCGACTGTCATCTGCCACCTTGTTTGACACTGGGCCTCTTTTCTGTTGCTCACCCCTTTGTACACCAGTGTAGCCAGTGTGAGTTCCTTGGAGGCTCTTGTGTTGGCCTGCCTTCTCTGCACATGACACTGTGATCTTGATTCCAGGCCACTGCATTTGGCTTCTTTGTCTTTCAAACATGTTTTGGAGTTTAGAACTCAGGTCTTAATGCTTATATGGCCAACTCTTTGACCCACAGAACCATCTCCTCAGCCCCAGGAGCTTCTTACTTAATTGCTAAGAACTGGAAGAGGCCAGGATTGATGTGTACAAGTTCGAGGTGAGCCTGAACTATACAGTGAGTTCCAGAGTTACAACAGAGTAAGATCTTAAATTAAGAAGCCAACAAAGGGGGGGTTGGTGGGGTGGCTCAGTGGTACGAAAGACTGACTTTCTGCATTCTAGTAATCCACAGCAGGAAAGGAGACGCATGAAGATTGTCTTCTGACACACACACACACACACACACACACACACAAATTAAAGAAAACCCCACAACAAAACAAAAAGGCAACTATAAAGGCCACCCCAGCAGAAACTGGACTCAGGGAGCTGCACTCACAGGGACGAGTACATTGCTGTCCTTGCCCTGCACAGTGGACGCTCCTGACTCTGCAGGGCATCAAGTGTGCGCTCGGGACACTTACTGCTTTGGTAGAGAGGAAATCACCTCTCAAATAAAAGTCAGATGGTCCCATCTAACAAGGCTAGAAGTAGGACCCGAAAGAATCAAACAGTTCACAGCCACCTAACTGCATCTCTGAGCAAAGCCTGGGCATGCCTGTTGGAATGCAGAGTCCACCACACCACAGAGCTCACAAGTGCCACTCAATAAAAAAAAATTACAAGGCATATGAACAGAAATTCTGGCTCATGATGAGAAGAGAAATGAATGAAAGAGGCCCAGAAATGACACAGATGCTAGAATTTGCAGCTAAGGCACTAAAGAGTTATTCTGACCATACTCCAAAAATGCGGGACAGAAGACTGGGTGTGCTGTGTAGAAATGAGGGTGAAGAGGATGAACGGATCATGGCATTAGTGATAAAAATGGCAATATCCGGTGTGGAAAATAAACTAGGTAGATTAGACACTGCAGAAGAAGAGATTGGCAAACTGGAAAACACAGCAATAGAAACTATCTAAAGACATGCACACGCGTGTGCACGCACACACTCACACACGTATGAGATGGGGCAGGGGCCGTAGGGTATGGAGACAGAGAGACAGAGGAATGCACAATAACTTAGCACTAAAGCATTGACTGTAGGACAGCTTCAAGAAGCACAATACGCACATAACTAGGGTCTAACGTATGGGGGAAGATGGAAAAAGAAAAATACTCAGAAGCAACAGTTAGCCTACGTTCAGAAGCTCATGGACTGTGAGAAAAACGAGGGAAGCAACTAAAGGCACATCATAAGCAGAGGGTCAGAGTAGAAAATGTACACAAATCGAAATATATACGTATATATTTAAAGCATGAGTGACGGGCATCACAAGGATGCAGAGGAGACCGGTGCACAGGGTTGATGGGAACGTAAGTCAGCACGGCTATTGTGGGAAATCGCATGGAGCTTCCTCTGATAACAAAAGGTGAAACTACCATGGGCTGAAACAAGCCTACCATCCTACTGAAAACATATTCATAAGAACTGAAGTCCATCTGCCGAAGAGATGCTTGCGCCCCACCCATCTCTCACTATTCACAATAGCTGAGCTGTTGAGTTGACCTTAGTGTTCTACAATGGATAAATAGGGAAAGGAAACATGGCATACATACACAATGATACCACTCGATGTTAACTGAGGGTGGGAAGGCCCACCTACTGTGGGCAGCACCATTCCCTACACAGGGGATCCTGAACTATGAAGATGGGGGCTGAAGAGAGGGCTCAAGTTAAGAGCACTGCCTGCTCTTCCAGAGGACTAGAGTTCAACTCCCATCACTCACATGGCTGCTCACAAATGTCTGTAACTCTAGCCACAAGGGATCCGATGCTCTCTTCTGGCCAATGCAGGCACTGCACACACACACCTTACACAGACATCTACTCAGGCAAATAAACAAATAGAGATTCTCTCTCAAAGAAAAGTGAGCTGAGCGCTGGCATTCACTGTTCTCTGTTCAGTTTATGGATATGATATGACCAACTCCCTCCAGATCCTGCTGCTGACATCACTGTTATGATGGACTGTGACTTGGAACAATACTTTCTCTCCTAAGGGGTTTTGTCAGCATGTTTCATCACATCAACAGAAATGAAGCTAAGACAGAACAAGCAGAAGCACTACAGGTTCCCCAAACATTATAGCGACAATAAAGATGAATTATGGATAACTTTATGTCCTTAAGTTCAACAAGGTAGATGGAACTAACACATTCTTTGAAAGAGACCATGACAATCTTCATTGTCAATTCTGTGACGAGAGATGACTAAGGGGTTGACAAGTGAAGAACACATCTGGGCGTGTCTATAAGGATGTTGTGAGGGAGGGTTGACATGTGGAAAAACCAATAAGGTCAAAAGACTGGCCCTAAGTTTTGGCAGCAGCATCCCATGAGCCAGGGGCCCCAGATGGAATGAAGGCAAAGAAAAAGAGATGTTAGCCAGTGTGTGCAAGCGCCCATTTTTCTGAGCAAGTTCAAGTGTGGCTGCTGCCACCATCAGTGGACAGTAGACAGTTACCTCAGGCTTCCAGCTATGTACACTAATGCTGTCCAGGCCGTGGTCAGGCCTGTAGCCCTGGGCTAAGATTGATTGATCCCTTATGTTTTGAGGCGTTGGGGTCCCTAGGTGGAGATGAAATTGGGTTGTCTGGCTCATCAACATGCAGAAAGCCATTGGGTACCACCCAGCCTCCAGTTACGTAAGTCAACCTAACAAACTCCCTTTTCCAACAAGAATGCACAATATATGTTCTTAACCTAATAAATTCCCTTTTACAATCACACACACGCCCAGTATATGTCCTTTTTGTGTAGAGAACCTAATACAGAAACAAATTACCAACATTTAAAAAGAGAGGGAAAAATGAACAGTCCTCCCTCTACCTGGGAAAGAAATTGAATGTATAGTTTAAAATGTCCTCCTCTAAAGAAAACTCCTGCTGGGTGGGGTGGCACAACCTTTATGTCTTTAATCCCAACGCTTGGGGGATAGAGGCAGGTGGATCTCTGTAAACCAAGGCCTGGTCTACATAATGAGATCCTGTCAATAAAAATGAAAAGAAGGAAGGAAGGAAGGAAGGAAGGAAGGAAGGAAGGAAGGAAGGAAGGAAGGAGGGAGGGAGGGAGGGAAAGAAGGGGCTGTAGGTTAAGAAAACTCCAGGCTCAGATGGCTTCATCTATGAAATCTCCCGAGCTTTCAAGGAATCTCAAGTATCAATTCTACAGAAAAACTTCCAGGAAACCAAAAAAAAAAGAGAGAACATTTCCTCATTTCACAAGGCAAGAATCAACCTAAGACCAAAGGCAGATAGAGATATTCTCAAAGCAAAAAGCAACATCTCCTTAATAAAATCTTAGACAATTAAATTAAACTATATACCAAGATGGTGAGTTGTTAGGACAAACTAACATTTTTCACTGTAAGCTTAGCTTAACCTTTGACATGTGCAATTCACCATATTAATAAACTAAAAGGGGCCAGGCAGTGGTGGTGTATGCCTTTGGAACCCAGCACTTGGAAATCAGAAGCAGGTGGACCTCTGTGAGTTTGAGGCTAGCCTGGTCTACAAAGTGAGTCCAAAAGACAGCTGGGCTACAAAAAGAAATCTTGTTTCAAAAAGAACCAATAAGCAAGTGAGTAAGCTAATTAACTAACCAACTAACCAACCAACCAACCAACTAACTAACTAACCAACTAAAAGGAAGCCCTTTTAATCATCATCCTAGGTACATAAGAATTCCCCAAATCTAACATCAGTGCCTAATAAAAACCGACAGCCCACTGGGACAAGAAGGTGACTCCATCAATCTGGCAAGCATCTAAGCACCCCATAAGAACACTGTTCGGGGGGCATCTATGAGAAGCTGTGGCCAGGACACTTTGTGGCAAAAGATTATATGGCTTTTCCATGGTTCAGTAATAAGAGGAGGCATTGCTATTCCTGTCTAACATTGAGCTGAAGTTAGGACCAGTATAACAACATAATAAAAGGAAACTAAAAAGACCCATCTTGAAATGGAAGAAAGGAAACTGACTTTGTGGCATATGATATCATTATTCACATGGAAATCTTAAAGAATCTGTAAAGAACTCACCAGAACTAATTAAGCTTATGAATTAGCATTCAAAATGATTATACTCACACACACACACACACACACACACACACACACATATATATATATATATCCCTGGATAGTCAGAAATTTAAATGCAAAATGATCAATACCATTTATTATCATATCAAAAGCATAAAATGCTTCCATACACATCTGACACAAAATATGAAAGCCTGGGCATGAGACAGAATAACCCTCATTTGAAGGATGTGAAGAGGACCCAGATAAGGTAGGAATACTACTGTCAGGAATCGATTGGAAGAATCAGACCAGAATATGTCAGTTCTGCCCAAAACCCGTGTGTGTGTGTGTGTGTGTGTGTGTGTGTGTGTAACTCTAATCAGAAGCTTAGCTGCCATTTTTTTTTAAAAAAGAAATTGACCAACAATGGGCTAAAAAGATGGCTCAGCCGTTAAGAGTACTGGCTGCTCTTCCCTGAATCCAATTCCCAGCACCTACAAGGCAGCTCACAACTGGCTGTAACTCCAGTTCCAGGGGAGCCAACACCCTCACACAGACATATATGTGGGCAAAACACCAAATGCACATAAAATTAAAATTAAATTAATTTTTAAAAATTGACCAACTATTGTAACTAGGGCTAGAGAGATGGCTCTGTGAGCAAGAACACTTGCTGCTCTTCCAGAGAATCCAAGTTTGGTTCCTAGCACACAGGCCGGATGGTTCACATCTGTCTGTAACTCCAGCTCCAGGGGAATAGGATGCCTTTGGCTTCTACAGGCAACCGCACTCATGTGTACACAAACACACATTCTCACACACATACACACATACACATACACACACACACACACACACACACACACACACACACACACAGAGAGAGAGAGAGAGAGCTGACCAGCTGATTTTAAAGCATATATAAAGTACACAAAGTAGGGAAGTCCTAGACTATCCAAAAGAATATGACCCAAGAACTTATCTATGTGACACTGGGCTATTGCACATAGACATACTATGAAGATTCACACACACGGCTCTGTCTAGATGTCTGCATTCTTCTCTTGGGTAAATACACTGAGAGTGGAAGGGCTGGGATCGTTGGGCAGATATTTGTGTAAGCTTTCAGGAAATGCCAACACCATGGGATTGGTGTTCGGTGAAGGAAGCAGATGGATAGAGCTAAGCAAAACCCTCGATGTGGACCTACAACTGTCTACTGATTTCAGAGACACAGAGACAACTGAGTGGCGAGCGAGCTATGAACAATCCCAAAACGAAAGAGAAAGAGAGAAAGAAACTTTGATGTGAGTGTAAGAAATAAGTCGATAGGGGCTGGAGAGATGGCTCAGTGGTTAAGAGCACTGACTGCACTTCCAGAGGTCCTGAGTTCAAATCCCAGCAACCACATGGTGGCTCACAACCATCTGTAATGAGATCTGATGTCCTCTTCTGGTGTGTCTGAAGACAGCTACAGTGTATTCATATATAATAAATAAATAAATCTTTAAAAAAAGAAATAAGTCGATGAATATTGGACTTTATCGTAAAACCTAAAACTTCTAGAAGAATTTCAGTCGGAGAACACTTAAATAGAACACAAAAGCATAGTCTACCAAAGGAAAGACACTGATAACTGGACTCCATCCATCTAGGAACTGGTTTTTATTGAGTAACTCAGCTAACAAAGAGGACAACTGAAGTACAGGCTGGGAGAAAGCATTTGTAAATCACTTATCTGATAAAGTCCTTTTTGTCCAGAATGCAGATATAACTTTCCAGCATCGGTAGTTAAGAAAACATATAACCCAAGTAAAAGTAAGTAAATGGTTTGAACAGAAAAGTTTAAAAAAAAAGTTATAGGGCGAATTATCACACAAAAAGATGCCCAGTGCATTTGGCATCTGAGGTCATTTGACACAGTAAAACTGCCCCTTGAAGCACCATGGCTCACCCACAATATGGCTAAGGTGGGTTTACAGATGACCACAAGATGGTTAAGGTGCTTGCACCTTCTGAAGATGAGCCTGGGAGGCATGGAACTCACACACTGAAGGTGGTAACAGCATCTTGGAAAGGTTTTTGGCATTACTTGGAAACTAACACAAACGCCTGTCCTACTATCCCAGCTCCCCCATTTCTCTAGATAGAACACAGAGGTCTGGACGGAGCCTTGCATGTAACTACTCATAGTTCTATATGCAATAGCCTGGACCGGCCCACAGCTCCAGGGTTCACCAGCAGATACATGGAGACAGAAACAACAGTACGTCAGGCAGCGCACACCAAAGACTGAGGTACAGATACATGTCATGAAGCAGAGGCATCGCAAAGGGCTCCCACTGAGTGAGGAAGCCTGTTCAGAAAGAACCATGCCATTTAGAGAAAGTTCCAAGAAACACAGACTAGCTCAGAATGCTAGATAGCATACTAGCAATCATGTGGTAAGCAGGGAGGAATGGCATTGCAGGAGAGTACCAATGGGACTTTGTTGGGTGTGGCCATTAATTTGATTGTAATGATGGCATTAGAGAGAGAGAGAAAGAGAGAGAGAGAGAGAGAGAGAGAGAGAGAGAGAGAGAGAGAGAGATCCCTAGAAAGCAGCACTTACCTGTGATGACAGAGCCCTCAGAGCCTGGACAGCTTCCTAGATACTGGTAGTCCGCAAAACTAAAGCTTCCGGAACTCTCCTCCCCGATGGACTGAGAAATCTCTTGAATGTTTCCCATTTCTTGTAAGAATTCTTCAGATAAGGGACTTTCCAGGCCATCTGCCTCAAGTGGGGAGAGAGGACAGATGGGGCTCTCCATGTCCACCATGTTGAATGGATGTGGCCAGGCGGGCCACAGAGCGCTAATCTGTAGGAGGAAAATAGTCATTCACTTTCTGTTCCGAATTGAAAACATCCCTGTCTGAGTTCAAATCTCAGCAGTGGCAGGATCGACTCTCTACCCTTGACTCTCAAAAGCACAGTAATTAGACTCTCTAAACAGGATCCAGAGAGAGGACTCAGCAGCTGGGAGTACTTATTGCTCTTGCAGAGGACCTGGGTTCAATTCCCCACACCTATGTGGCAGTTCACAACCACCTGTAACTCCAGTTCCAGGGGATCTGATGCCCTTTTCTGACCTCTGTGGGCATTCTGAAATTTTTGGTACACATATATAGATCCAGGATAAATGTTCATACAACACATACAGTAAAGTAAACATATATTTAAAATTTTCTAAACAATAAAACACAGAAGATGTCAAACTTCACGCAGTTGGCAACCTTTCCTTGTTTACTCTCTGTCTACTACTCTGAGCTCAGCCTCCCGGCCACGGACAAAAGCAAAGTCCGAGTTCCCTAGAACATGCCTTCTAATGGGGACACAGGTGGGGGCCAACTGAACGGGGTGTCTGCTGGGGGTGATACAGCAGGAGCAGATGGAGAACAGATGCCTCGCACGGGGAAGCCCCAGAAGGACGGGCTTCGTTCTGGAGAAGAATGTTCCAGCAAAAAGAACACCAAGTGCTGGTGTATGCCAGCACATTCTAGGATCAGCAGGGAGGCCACTGGGCCCGGCTAAGGGGCACCGAGGGGGAAAGAATAAGCAGTCAGTGAGTGTTCTGCCTATACACATGAAGCCCAGGATATAGTAGATGGTCCTAGAAAGAAAATGACATCTCAACAAATGCTTTATGTAGTTTTAAAGACATCTAAGTAGATAAGTCCAGGGAACATCAAACTCCATTTACCTGCAAGCAAAAAAACAACAAACAAAAAACAAACAACAACAACACAAATGAAAAACAAAAACAAAAAATTAAAACCAAACTAAACCAAAAAACCCCCCAAAACAAAACAGTCTCCATATAAATAAGTACACTCTTTCTCCATAATCTTAAATGACTTCGTATGCCCTCTAGCCCAAAGTCCAATCCCCTTAAGCACATCAGTTCAGCCTTTTTGGATTCGTCTCTTCCCATCATGCACTTGTCATGGAAATTTATCATACTAAGCCTCTTTGTAGTCTCAGCTCTGCAGCTCTGCCCAAACTGTCTTGCAGCTGCCTTCAGTAGGCCCTGACTCAGCCTCCTTCCCTAAGCCTGAGAGGGTCACGGTCATCTAGCCAGACTGACTAGATGACAGTCAGCTCCTTAAACTGCTTTGCCACCTAGAAGTAGTCACAGAGAAGGCCACAGCCCCCATCGCAGAGAAGGCCAGAGCTGCTGCGTGCTGGGGTTGAGTGTGCTGTGGGTTCCAAATACTGTAGCTCCTGCCATGCTCTGACCACAGAGAGCCAGCGTCCTCTGAAGAACATTTCCCAAAGCGCTGAATGAACACACACGAACTGACGTTTCGTGGTCGTTTCCCATTTGCCAAAAGTCAACAAACTTTTCAGTTGCAGAGGAAGAGGTGTTTTGGCTTCCCTGAGGAATGAAAAATTGGTAAAATTGCCTATTTCTGTGAAATTCACCTCTCGAGCTTGGTGAATCTTGACAGTTTGTCATGGGTGCTTGTTACATACAGGGAGAAACAGTCAGAGATCATTACACACCACGAGACATCGTCATCCTGGGACTGGAGAGGGACTGGGGAGGGACTGGGGAGGGACTAGGGAGGGACTGGGGAGGGACTGGGGAGGTGGCTCAGTTGGTAAAGTGTTTGTTGTGATAGTTCAGAGACCTGAGTTCAAATCCCATCACTGACCAAAAAAGCCAGGCATGGCAGTGTGTGTCTATAATCCCAGCACTGAGTAGGCAGAGGCAGGAGGATTCCCAAGACTGACTGGTCAGCCAACCTAGCTGAATCCAAGTTCATGAGACTCTGACTCAAAGAGTAAAGTTGAAAATAATTGGGGAAGACAGCTCACATTGACCTATACAAGCACGTGTACAGGCACGTGTGTACAGGCATGTGTACAGGCATGTGTGTACAGGCATGTGTACAGGCATGTGTGTACAGGCATGTGTGTACAGGCACATGTGTACAGGCATGTGTGTACAGGCACATGTGTACAAGCACGTGTACAGGCATGTGTGTACAGGCATGTGTGTACAGGCATGTGTACA